ATCATCTGTCGCTAATTAATAGGAGCAAAAGAACAGTTTTATAAACTGTTCTATTCAAACGATTCGAAATGCATTGCTTCTCCTAGTAATAACAAAATAGAGAAATGTAGTACACTATTTAGGTAAACAAAAATAAGTAAAAACAATTGCACGTGATCCAGCTTAATGTCACTTATCGTAAAAAAAAGACTTATCGCAAAAGAATTTCTTAAATGAATTTTCCATGTCCTATTTAGTATTTTACAAAAATGAATAAAATGTGTAATCACAAATAATTGCATCCTTTCATTTTAGTAACAATCTTCTACTTTGCTTACGCAAAGAGAGTTTCATATTTTATAGTATAATCACAGAGTAATATTTATCAATATTTAAAATAAATTTTAAATCTTAAGTTCAAAATTGAAATTACAACTCCCTACAATTTACAAAATTCGCAATTCAAATAAGATATCTTACTGATATTCAACAGCGTTATAAATCCATGTGTGACACGAAAGACTCCCAGCAATACTCCCGACGGCAGTGGCTGTTACTAATTAAGGGTAGTTTCTGTACGCATGTTAATTCTTAATTAATATCTTTGTTTCATCCTCTCCAACATAGACTCCCTCAGCGTATACTTCTGTCTTTTTTAGCTACATCTCTCTTCTTTTCTCTTCTATTCTTTCACTTTTCTTCCTTTTCTCATGCTCATTTCCGTCTTTAGTACGACACCCTCACCTCGTATCTTCTCCCTCAACAAACTTTACTGAATAAAAAAACGGTTGCAAGCGAGAGCACGTTGGTTTCTCAAATCGTTATCGCTGTTATAATCATCTGCAGGTGATCAAGAAAAAAAGGGTAGAAACAAAAAAGATGATCCACTTATAGCAGGAAGACGAATTCGAAAGATTTCACTTCTATAGAGTCCCCTTTTCAAGTTTAACCCGTTCACTGCTTAACCAAAAATCGCTTTTCACTACATTTGACTCCATAAGATCCATCTTCATAAAAATGATGAAGATAAAATATTAACTTATTTCTTAATTATTATTTTTATCTCTGCTTTGCTTTTAATATCAACTTTTAGAATATATTATCATCTAGAATATATTATTATCATATCATTGACTAGATAAATATTTTTTCTGATTTATTTATCGCTAAATATTTCCTCTTTCTCTGCTTAAAATTCTTTTTTCATTGTTTTTTAAATTCTTTTTATAGTTATTTATATTTTAGTCGGTACTAATAATATTATTAATTTGCAAAAAATATTCATACATATGAATCCATCTTAGAAAAATAATTCAGGTGGTTTTATAAATGTGCTTTGAAAGATAAAAGAAGGCTCATTTCTCGGATAGACGATTGAATCAGCCTCATATCGCGCGAGGCGACATAGATCTAGAAAGGCATCGGCGCAAATATGCACAGCGTATAGACCTTTGGAGCAGAAACCGTTTTACGACAAAAATGTTGGCAAGGTTCTCGTATTCAAGCGACGCTAGTAATCAGGCACGAGCTCCTTTACGGTTGAACGCACTTAATTTTTCATAGAAGAAAAATACGAGCCACATCCCTGCTTCGCTCTCTATGTCTTATGCCGACTCCCAACTTCGATTTTCGCCGTCCCTTCCTGGCTTCGCTGCTATCCGCGCTTCCGCCTCCTTTTTGTCCCGCTACCCCCGGCTCTCAGGCTTCTAGTCGTGCCGAGACGCACACAATTTCAAAATCGTTTATAGAAACCGGGGTTTTATTCTCTCCTCATCGTCCGTCTCGCGAGTTACCGTCGTAATTCCCTGTTCCGTCGCTTGTCCTCCCCTCTCCGGCTGTCTTATGCGTTTCTTTTCACGAAGGAAATTTCTAGCGGACGATGAAATCGATACGAGAGGAAACGAGATGATTGGATTGGAGTACGGCAATGCTTCTGGCACTCCTATAAACGCTCCGTAGCGTGCAGCCCCTTTCGACAGGGCAATAGTTGGCTTGTCTGAAAGTAAAGACTCGTTGCAATGACGTATTTCCACAATAAACATTAACGACGCATCGTATCATATCGGCGCACACACACACACACACACACACACACACACGCGCGCGCGCACACACATACGTGTGTATTATATTACTTAAATTGATATT